GTAAGGTCTAGACCTTACTTTGTAAAGTGTCCTGAGATGACTTTTGTTGTGATTTGGTGCTATACAAATAAAATTTGATTTGATTGATTGATTGATTGATTAGAAACACATTCACCAGTTAAATCAAATAGGCTACAAAATCACGTGCTTTGATTTATTAGGCCTGTGTGATTTTGATTTTTGTTAATTGACGATTAGACTGCCAAACACATTATTTTTCATACTGCCAAAAGATGCACGATAGGAGCTGCTGAAGCGGTCTTTCATAATTTATACATGTAGCACCACCTGCTGGATTCACTAAGCAGTTGCACAAAGAGTCTCCAGCCCTGCTTTGTCCAGGGTGTGACTTAGAAAGACACGTCAAACAGGATCAACAGTGGCGACTTGGGATGGGCGGGGTCATAACCACAGAGCTCTACCCATAACCAGGCGGTTGTGGTTATGGGTAGTCTAACCACTGGAGCAAATGACACCGTTTTCTGATTTTGCATGATCTATATTCAAACATGATTTACATGAGGGTTTCTCTCTGCCCATTAGATCTCTCTTGGGGAAATTGTCTTTAAAATCCGTGTTTTAGTTTTTGAGTGTTTTTTCTAACATTGCATCCCCATATGACCATCCCTTTATCCCCAGAAGTGATCAAGAGGTTCTAACATCTCTGATGATGATGATGATCTTTATATTGTGTGCATGAACGCGTTACAAACTTGAGGCCAAAACAGGTGTGGGTCCAAAAGAGGTGTGGTTCAAGGAAGCAATTTGTCAGTTCAGGGCCCACAAACCCTGCACCCCATGGTTGTGTGCGTCCTGTGGTAGTGATTGGACCTTTATACATACACATTTCAAAATAGAGACACCACCTCACACACACACACACACAGATACATCCTTGTATTTGTCACTTTGCCGGCCTTTACTCTGACTTACAATTATTTCCTGTTGACTTACCCTAAACTTACTACTACATGCCAAAGCGCTTTTGTCCCTTTAATTTGTTCACTTTATTCAAAACCTTCCCTTTTTTCATCAAAATTCTTGCATACATTGGATAGTGTGGATATCATTTCAGCTAATTACATCCTGTTGCTACATCCATCTCCAGCCAGTGTTACAACTAACCGCAGTACTGGGCTAGGTTGTAACCACAGAGCTCTACACAATCCATTTGTCCTCCATGTGACTTGTATTTGTAGCAGACATGTATGGGCACCATGTATCAATGTTTGAGAGACATAGCACGAACAGCCACTGAGCTAGTGCTGCTCAAACAAAAGGTCTCCGGTCTCCCCTATCTACCCAAAGCCATTGTGCATCCCTAATACTCTAACATCACAATACCAAGTCAGGTCGTTAAGACTTCTAGAAGTTCAGTCATAGACTCGGGTTCTATTCGTTTTTCATGCCACTACAGAATATCATTGACTTAATATACCAGTCTATAATGTTGATTCTTATAACTTCGATTACTTATTAGGATCTGTAATTTTGCCTTTGAACCATCTTCAAGCAGTAGCAAACATCGCGTAATACTGTGCGTAATTACGCACTCATAAAAGAACATTTGAGCAGCACACAAAATACAAACTTGCTTCATTGGGCCTTTAGTTCTTTATTGAGGAGATACATAATATGTGTAGGTCTCTTCTGGATGTCCAGGTACTAAGGTTTAGTGGTACTGCTTTCCCAGAGCGGCCACCACTCCGGACAGGAACTTTTGAAAAGCTGCCTGCTTTTCTGGGGTAAAAGCGTTTCCCATTTTGGCGGCGATGACGACGGTAAGGCAGTCCGCCAGCAGCTATTCAGAGAGAAAATATTATGCAGATGCTTTTAATAAATAGTCTGTATGCATTTAAGTGTCTTTTACAATAAGAGAAAAACATCTGTTATCACGGAAAAATGGTGTGTTTTTTTCTTTTATGCAAGGATTTCAATTAAAATGTTTACTTAGATCCTCTCATGGTTTGCAGTGATATTTCTTGTGCTACACGCAGTTCTCATATTTGTATGAATACAAATTTTAAATAAATGTACAAGATGGTGAAACTTTACCCTGAAGTTGTCGGGGTCAACGTGCAGCTTCTCGGAGTGCAGGACGCTCAGGTCGGTGTAGGCGGCCGTGATGTTGTCCATGTTCTTCACAGCCCGGTCCAGACCGTGCACCACCTTGACGCCATGGGCTGCGATGTTCGGGTTGCTCTTGATGGCGTCAGCGTTGTAGAGGTTTCCGAAGGAGCTGAAGTACCTCTGAGTCCAGGGGTAAACGATCAGACACCTGTCAGGGCAGAGAGAGGGATGAGCCGGTAACAAGTCAGCAGGGCACTGGCACCCGGTGGAAGGATTCTCTTGCATTTAAAACAAACTTTCAGAGAATAATTCGTTGCTTTTCTACACAGACAGTGATCTTGTACCTGGTCAGGGCCTTGGGGCCGACGTCTTCATAGTCCAGGTTGGAAAAGATTCCGGTGATGATGCTGCGCTCCTGATCAGTCCACTCGACCATGGTGACTCTTGATTTTTTGTGTTCAGGCTTGAAAGAAACGGCTGAATAGTGTTTCAGCTTCACCCTCCTTTATTTAAATGTCTCGAGGCTCCCCCTGCCCTAAAGGGGAAGGTAGCTGTGATAGGTTGGAGATGAAGTGTTTCAGATAAACCGCAGACTTCTCCAGAAGTTTCTGGGTGTTTCGAAGGTGGTTTAACAGCAGCCTATTGCAGGTTTCTAAAGATCCCTGAGATTGACGAAGACTTTTGGAATAATTCAATGCTGAATGATCTGTTCTCACATAAATCAGTAGATCACAGATACATAAACCAGTGTCACAAATATGAATTAAGGTCTAACGCTTTATTTAGGTCGTTTACTTGTTGAAATAAATTAGCTTACAAACAAAAGTTCAAATTAGGACGAACTCCATATTAAACTTATTTTAAGCTGCAGTTTTCTATTTTTTTAAGCTGTTGGCTTTGTAAAAATCTTTCTAGTGTTCGTTCTAAAATACAAACAGAGAAAAACTATTTCAAATCAAGGTAATACTGGAGATGATTGTTTGTTGTCTGACAAGTTAGTTCTTCTTGCCAGGCAGGTTGTCACTTGTTTCAAACTTTTTGTCCTAAATTATCTTAAGATATGAGGCTGTAGCTTGTGTAGTTAATGAGATTTTACTGCTGGTTTTGAGTAACATGATGCTATAAAGCTGACCAATGACTACAAAACTGCTTGTTTTTAGTCTATACTAGTTTTAAGATATCCATAGGTGTTTTTTCACTTGTTTTTAAAAATCTTCTCGGCGAGTGACATTTTTATGTTCTGTTTTACTTCAGTAACATTATCCTGGTTTTATTACTTGTCTTTTTCCCCTTGTATTGGAGAGCAGAGTTTTTGCAGTGTAATCCTTTAACCTAATTTAGCCTGGATATTGTTTTCAGAGCAACTATTTAAATAAGCTCTTCTACTTTGTGTCATGTCATTATTATATAGACGTTACGGTGCTAGATTTTACTGGACCATATGAATTTAGCCATAAGAATAGGTAGTTGTTAAAATACCTAAAGAAATGTGCTAATATCTTAGTGGAAACAGCTTGAAACCCCTAAGAAAACAGTTGGATATATTTTAATCCACTTTGAGTATTTCCTGAGTATTTGCTGCAGTTTTCTGAATATAATATATAATATCAACAATATAACACTGGTGTTTCTAAGTGTCTAAGAAACAATGGTGAATAACAACTTTATGAAGGCTTGTCTGACTTTATTTTAAAAGTCACTGAATTCACTCAAATTTGTCTGAGGATGTTTCAGGCCGTACTGTTATCTGGAAAACCACACCAGTGTTATCTGTGGTGGGGCCTCCTCCACCCTAACCCCCAACACCCCAGTCCACACATGCTTTGATTAAGAAAAGGCCTGAGAGGGGCGATAAAGCCTATGGGCGCTCTTTCCTCCCTTTGATAGGAATTACATTTATAGCCGGAGCCAAAGTAGTCAAATTAAAAAAATGAAATCACTGGTAAATCTTTTGGGGCTTTCACAGCTGCAGTATGATAAGACTGACATGTTTTTATTTTTAGGAAATGATTCACTTGAGTATACAACCTCAATCAGGATGTGTACATATTCTTTTGTTGGTAATTCTGCAGCATCAAAATGCAACATGTATTCATTTGCTTATATGAAACTAAAAATGTCCTAAAATAACTCATATTTCTTTTTTTCATGCCAATTAAATCCTTTTATTTTTAAATTTGGGGATTAATTTCCCATTTTAATAAACAATTCAAGCTGTTAGTTTAGAGAAATGACATCTTTGTTGTGGCCTGAATTTATTTAAGATAAACCGAAAATGCAAGCTTATTGTTTCATTATGACTTGGAAACAGAAAACTTACTTTTGATTAGCACATATGACCTAAAAGCCTGTAGGGAGGACTTTCTCTTGACAAGTTTAACTGTGCCCCATGTTATTCATACCTACACAAGAAACTGGGTTTTATTTCGGTTTGGGCTAAATACTGAATATCTCCCAGGACCAATGTTTACTAATAATTTGATTTTTTGATCAGTTTTATTTATGTTAACCTCATCTCACCCATCTGTCGTGACAATGTTCCTACACCTGACGTCACATCACTGCTCTTGACCTCTGTGACCCGAGGCTCCTCAACCTCTGGTGAAGCTTCTGTATCTCTAACATGTCTCCTGCCAAAACATAAGGCCACATGTGGGGACACCTAAACGTTATAGCCCACGTAAATGATCATATATCTGTCAACTGCCGCCCACGATGTGACCGGCTGATACCAGGTCTCTGGCTGGCACACCTGCCGCTGACATTTCTCTTAGGCACGGAGGAAGGGTTCGATCTGTGTCAGTGAACGCGGTTTGGCATCCGTTCCCGTGGGTGTGACTCTTGAGTCAAGTGAATTTAAGCAGAAGTCCAGACTAGCCTGGGATCACCACCATTCAGCTAGAGAGAGAACTAAACAAAAGTCAGGTATTAGGTGGTTTTACATCCAACTGACTTAGATCTTCAGCACACCGGCCACCTGACTTCCTCTCCATGCCTATAGGATGCTCACTATCTATCCGCAAACCAAGTCCTATACTTCTCCTACTGGCCAGACATGAGTCCCGGCTCTGCCCCTGTCAAGGCCCACGGAAAGAAGATAATGAGTGCAGTCGCTCTGGCTGTGTCCAAGATTGACGACCTGACCAAAAACCTGCAGCCACGCTTTTGAGATAAGAGTGGACCCGGCCAACTTCAAGGTGAGACAGGATTTACGCGCAAATTACGCATGCATGCTACAAGTTTCAATTTCATAACAGGAAAATGATATGATTAAGACAAATGTTTGCTGTGTAAACCTTATAAAATATGAGCTATACAGCTGTTTCCTCTGTCCGCAGATCCTGTCCCACTGTGTTGTCGTGATCGACACCATGTTCCCTGCGGACTTTATGCCCGAGGCCCACGTCGGCTTTGATAAAGTCATGTCCACCGTGGCCCTGGCTCTTGCTGAGAGATACCGCTGAGCTTCCCGTAGATGGAGGGTCTGTCACATAAGACTATTTAATTCGTGGTGACAAATGAAAGAATAAATTGCTTACCGACCAAAAATGATCCTCCTGTGTCTTGTGTCTTGTGTCCTGTGTCCTGAAAACAACTACACAAGAAACCCAAAAATCTCTACAGGTGTTTGTTCATGTATTTTTATGGACAAAGGAGCAAATAAAGAGGTCGTTTATGTTCTTTTAATTGTATACTGAAATTTTCACACAGCTTAACGTAAAAGAAAAAGACCACCATGACATTACATAAAAGGAATCTCATATGTTGTGACAGACCATGTTATGACTTCATAACGACTCGTAATTTATTATCGCCGAGAAGGACCCTGAAACAGAAGAAAGAGCCTGCTGTTATCACCCATCCATTAATTTATCCTTTCAATCTCAGCACGAGTCGTGCCCGTCAGGTCTCACCTGAGCAAAGCAGTGGCCACCAGGCCTCCTCCTATGGGACCCACCCAGTACACCCAGTGGTAGTTCCAGTAGTTGGCCATCACAGCTGGGCCAAAAGCCCTGGCAGGGTTCAGACACGTTCCTGACACGTCGCCCCTGCGCCAAAAAAAGACTTGTTTGTGGCCTACAGCAACAATTTTACAGAGTGAAATTGTCATAGCATAATTTGTTATAAAGTCGCTATTAAAAAAAATACATTCATATGAAATACAGTCAAACGTTTTATAATTAGACCACAGATATTAATTAAAAAATATTATAAAATACCTTTTGAAATAATAAATAAATAAATAAAAAATAAATAAATCCCCCCTTTTTTGTGAGGGACATTTTATTTTGGAAGAAGTTTTACTTTGAAATAAACATCAGGTATAATCAGTTGAGTGATAATATGTGGTTGAACATTTTATCTTGGTAATTAATTGGTGATTATTAAATCAAATTCCGATGCAGATCCATTAACTCATACTGTCTTTTATCTCACCCTGCCAGGATGTTGATGGTCACGGTACAGCCCACCAGGAATGGAGCCAGTGGGGTCTTCGTCTTATTGTTTACCGCCACTAGCAGCACCACCATTGTGACCAGGCAGGTCATGGTCACCTCCCCAAAGATGGCCCCGGACAGCTGGCTGTCTGACTTGAGGATATCAAACGCTGCTCCTGTGGCATTGTAGTAGCGTTCTGCGGGGGTCATCAGCTATAAAATTTGGGTGATAAGGAATTTGCCATATTTAATTACATTTTATATGTTTACCCGAGTGCAAGCTAGTCAGCACATGCATTGTTTCACAATACTGTGCAATTTCACTTTTATTATTTGATTGATTTGACCTTGGCCATTCCAGCTCCAAGCACTCCTCCAATCAGCTGGCTGACAAGATATGGTCCCACCATCATCAGCTCCATGCCTCCACACAGGTAGATAGCAATAGTGAAGGGAGGGTTGAAATGGGATCCACTGTATAAAGAAGCAGTAGCAAAGAAATGAATGAGAGCAAAGTGGACACTTGATTGTTAAAAAGTAGATCATGCAAACTGCACTCAAAACATATGATTCTGCCATAGTAGCTGAGGTTAATCATTATGTGCCATAGATAACCCCCAGCACAGAAACACAAAGCAATAGTTTAGCTGTGAATGAAATGACATTTTGACTGTTTTATTCTCTACATTAAACAAAGTCCTTTACCTGATCTTATCCATGACTGCCACCAATACTGCCACAGCCAGTCCATGCACCAGGGCTGGCTGCAGCCGTCCAGCTGCCGGCACATTCTCAATAACAGACACACAACCGATAAAAACGAAGAACATGGTCCCCAAAATCTCAGCCAGGCAGGGCTGGAACACTGTCTCATATTTGCTGGGGGGCTTGGGCGCAGGCAGCTTCTCTCCTTTCTCCATTAGAGTTGAGTGTGGGTCTTCCATTTTCATTGCTTCAGCTACCATTGTTGCTTGCCCACAAGAGAGTCTACCTCTGTTCCAGGAAGATCCTCACAAATAATCCAGTCCTGCACCCTCCACCTCCATGTGACCCAGTCCGCAGACTAAATAAAGGGCATTGCAAGGTGTTGGGTTATTTAGCTGACACAGTGAGCTAGAATTGCATCACAGATCATAAAACGTCAAGGAGAGTTTAATATTTATCATTTCAATACAATCCCCTCCCAGACACAATCTGAGCTGGAGCTCCTGCCCCGCTGTGTCTCAGGTCATGTATATTCTCAAAGCAGTCCTCAAAGTGACTTTTTATAAGAGGGACGATAGAGTTCAAAATGAGACACACAAGCTGCTAAAGGTTGACCACAGTGAGTGGGGTCAGATTAGTGTTTGCAGGGTCAAGTAGGGTCTTGTATTCATCATCACTGCTTTATTCAGATGCACATGTAGAATAACCAAAAGCAACCTACAGTATATAAGATAGACCTGAACCACTTTGTGTTACACAAACATTAGATTAACTCTGGCTCTGGCTGGCTGATTGCTTTTACATTGGATATTGATGTATCTAACATTTTAAAGTATTTTGCTGAAGTATGCTTTTGAGGAAAGTGTATTTATATTCATTTTATGCATTACACAGCTCAGCATCATATAAAACAAAACCTGCTCCACCTCTTGCAACAATAAAAGTGTACTCACACAATAATCAGTAACACAATCAAGGAGCCATTGTTCTGCACTAATGTTTGGTACTTCAACTACATTTTGCTGATATTTCTGTACTTCTATTAAAGCAAGCTTTTGTGCATAACTGTTACTTTTAATGGTGGATTTTTATATTGCAGTACTTTTATTTAAAGGATCTGAATACTACTTCCACCACTGGCATCAAATACCTTCAGTAAGAATAGAGTTCATCCCTTTGGAGGCTTGTGGGACAAATTTAAGGACAATACCATCAAGGCTAGGATGACTAACAAGGAGCTATCTCTACTTTTACACAGGCTCCATCATTTGGCAGCATGCATTACATTTCGAACACAGCTTTTGATTGTTTTTCTTGTTTGACTTTGCACCATCTCTCGTCTGTCAATAAAATCATCGGACGAGCAACCCGGGTCTGCCACACCTGACTGCGACAAGCTACAACGTCAAAAGGCGAGTGGTCACGCCGTCAGACAAGAACACTTTTCGATGCTGGAACTTCAACAGTGTTTCCCCTCTGAAATCAGAGAAGGGTTTTGCTTGGTGCCCATCCAGAAGGCCACATGTACAGCAGTATATTATGGAACATATGTTGATGAACCTTTAATAGAAGTTTGGTTGTAATAGCATTGAGTAATGTTGTGAGGTTTGCACTGCCTGGTTCAAATTTGTTAGGACTTTTCACCTTTACTGTCCAGTTTAAAACACGTTTTAGAAAAGTAATCAAATAGTAATGAAAAGTAATGTTACATTACTTTGATGACATAAATAAAATAGTTACATTACTTATTACATTTTAAACATGGTAACTAGTAGTCTGCAACCTATTACAGTACATTTCAAAAACAACCTTTCCAACACTGGCGATTGCTACAGTCTTGCACTTGGACACAGGGGATGGTTATGGGGTGGTGTGGGGTGGGGGTGGGGGGTACAGATGATGAGGAATCATCATCCATTTTTTAGGACACATACTCTGTAAACCTCTGTTATATAACGTGTTTCACTGTAATTTACTGCCATGTTTTAGCTGATCAAACACTAGTTTACCATTCTAATCTAACTTTATTGTACAGTACGGTGGCCTGTCCTTGCACCATCTTTAAAGCAATAAACCTGTAATAGGAGGACTTTCAGGTCAGGACTTTGCCCTGTAACGGCCCTGGTGCCTCGTTTGGTGCGTACATGTCCCTAGAAGTCTTGCCGTGATGTGGCCAACTGATGATTTGGGGGGACCTGGCCAGTGTTCTCAAGCCTCGACACCCCCTGCCTGCCTATGGCTCAGTGTGCCAATCTCCACGCCATGCGCCATGTTTTGTTTGGTTTGAGTTAACCTACTGATTTTGTTTTGCACCTACAACACACACCTTACATGTTTTTACTCCAGTAGTGCAGCTCCCTCCTTTTTGTTGTGACCTCTGAGCAGGGTCATAACAGACCAAAACAATGATTATAAAAAGATGGTTAATAGGTAACAGATGTATTTTTTTATTAGCAAATATCCCTGGAATTTTCCCAACTTTCATCATATTATGGGACGTCCAAGTTTGAAGTAGCTACCATATTCTTATTGCATTATCAAACGCTACTGAATCTTCAAACACAAACATTTCATTCAGTATGAGCCGACAAATCTACCTGACCCAAAGACAAATCTATCTGCACACATTTTTCTGACAAATTTAGGTAACACGATTTAACTGCTGATGTATGTATGACCATACATGTCAGTCAGGATGTCCTTTCTCTCTTCCTCTTTAGTACATTAGACATTGTCTTCAGCACAACTCGAGTCTTCTGGTCACCAAACAACAACCTGTGAAAGAATGCGAATAGGAGAGTGATCATTACTTGTCTTTCACAACAGCACTGAGTAGGATTTAAAATGGCAAAACCATCAGACAGCTGTAAAATGACTACAAAGACATACAAAACAACCACAAATTCAAAACCTAATCTGACTCCAATGATGCAAAACAACTACAAAGAGATGTGAAACAAGTCTGGTGTCTGGGGGTCTTCTCCCAGTGTCGTGTGTGTGTCTGTGCCTGGGATCTCACTGATTCATACAGTACCTGATAAAGATGACAGTGAGCAGTGCACCACAGCTGGGTCCAACCCAGTAGATCCAGTGATGAGCCCAGTGGCCGGCAACCACTGCAGGACCAAAGGCTCTGGCAGGGTTCATACACGCACCGGATACCAACCCTCTGAAACAACAGCCAACACAAAACATGGAGACGCAGCTGGTGATCAGGGTGCTGCAGCTCAGCATGTAATATTAGAACAACAAAAACATTTCATTCTGGTACCATGGTGCAGTCTGGCCTTTAGTTGGGAAATAAAACATCAACATAATTTCATAGTTTCCACATTTTCACTTTTATCATTTCCTGGCATTTTCCAACAAAATTTTATGTACTTTTGTTTAAACTGGTGGAGATGACGCTCTGGATAATACTTTATTGCTATGCCTCTGGTGCCTGCTGAGGCTCTTACCCGGCAAATACGTTTGCAGTCACAGTAAGGCCGATGCAGAAGGGAGCCGACGGTGTGCGGGTTCTACTGTTCACGACCCCCATGCACACCACCATGGTGAGGATTAGGGTCATCATTACCTCTGTCAGTGTGGCTTTACCCAGGTCGCTGGTGGTGGGGTTAAGGGCTCCTCCAAGGGAAGCACCATACAAATCAGAGGTGTACATTACCTGAAAGTACAGCAAACCAAATATACAGCAGTACATGATAAACCTGGAACATTTTTATATCAATGAGTATTTTGAACATTTCCACAGTGTTTTCTTACTCTGGCCAGACCAGCACCAATCATCCCTCCTAACAACTGAGCCACGACGTAGGGCAATAGCAGAACCAGTTCCATCCCTCCACACAGGTAGATGCACAGGGACACCACAGGGTTGAAGTGGGCCCCACTGCAATGAACAGAATGAACTTTACTCTCTAATCTATGTCTCTCTAATCTGATAAATACAACACATATTCCTCAAACTGAATAAACAGAACTTGCAAATGATTCTTTGGATTTCTATTAACTTTGTTCTATCAAACTAAATGAATGGGTGAGAAAATCATAAGAAACTATTTGCCAATATTCCCTGCTCTGCTGTAGTTGCCTGATGCTAAGTTGCAAAAAGCTCATTCACATTTTAAGGCAAATTCACTTTAAATAAAAGTCACATTTTGGGAGGAAATTAAGCAACAGCAACATCATGGAGACCTTTCTAATATCAGTCAGCTCGAAAACATTGAAGCATTTAAAGAACACAACAAAACGTAACATCTTCAGTTTTTACCTAATTTCTCCGAACATCATGATGAGCACTATCACAATCAGTCCATGTGCCACAGCAGGCTGGATAAGCGTAAGCGTGTCCATATTCCCAATAACAGATGCACACCCCACAAACACAAACAGTGTGGTCCCCAACAACTCAGCCAGGCAGGGCTGCACATATTGCTCATATATGGACCTCTTCTGGTCTGTGCTGCTCGGGCCTCCATTCGCTGCTGCCTCTCCTGACTCCAGTACTGTGAACACCTGGATCTTGGCCTCTGTCTCAGGCATTCTGACTTGGAAACAAACTCTCTCTGCCTCGTTCTTGTTCCGCTGGTGGACCACAGCCGGCACTAGGTGGGCTGATGAATGCACAGTAATGTCCAGTATATGAACCCTTCTTGTGATGGTGCACAAAGTGCATCCACTTTTTTTTATCTGATGTTCCACCTTCCTGCAGTCAGATATAGCACTTCCAAGGCTACTGGCATTTCATCCAGAGAAGCTCATAAAATTATTACACCAGTTATAGAGTGTCAAAGAACAAACACATATAGATTGTAGCATGATAAGGATGATTGCTCTTATCACTCAGCAGCGCAACGCTTGAACAACATGGCAACACTTGATTTCTTGATCTGTTCTAATTTCATACATATTCGGTGTTTTTTTAACAAACCTTTTCTTTATATTAAACCTGCAATAACTGGCTTTCTTCATCGGAAGACATGGCGCTGGGATTGAGGAGATCCTCGAAGTATTCCTTCCACAGTCCGACAATGTCCCCAGTTGAGGTCAACAGCTGCCCACCTCCACTGTAAACAGTTTTGGCAGGGCACTGCTTCCCCCTCCTGAGGCGCCGGACGGTTTGCCAGAATCGGAGGCGGGAGTTGAAGATCTCTCTGACAGGGGATTCTG